TTTTCAACCAAACAGGATGGGATTTGGAACATAGATAGATATAATAGACTTCTACAAGAAGGTATGGTCACCATGCACATCCATACACGTGCGTGTACGTGCGCTGCAATCTGATTGGCTGAAACTTTAAATAGCTATAACTCCTTTAATTTTCAACCAAACAGGATGAGATTTGGAACATAGATAGATATAATGGACTTCTACAAGAAGGTATGATCACCATGCACATCCAAACACGTGCGTGAACGTACGCTGCAATCTGATTGGCTGAAACTTTAATCAGCTAGAACTCCCTTGGTTTTCAACCAAACGGGGTGGGATTTAGAACATAGATTGATGTAATAGACTTCTACAAGAAGGTATGTTACCATGCTCATGTATGCACGTGCGTGCACGTGAAATGAGTAAAACCAAAAATACACTTGAATGAGCCTATTTTTTAATACTTTTGGAATAAATACTTTAATATTTAGTATATTAAAGTATATAGATTGTGTAGACAAGATGATATGGTCATTACGCACATACATTCACATGCGCACGCGTGCAATGCTAAAATTTGAATGAACTTGGTACCCTTCTGGGTAAACGTTGTTAAAGTCTCAAATGCATAAAGTTTGTCTTATTTAATGAAGCTAACAGGGAATATGGCACCAAAAGGGAGATGGGGAGCGTTTGGGGAACATCTGTAACGGTCACCGTTACAATTAGCACTAGTTATTGGATTGAACTTTTAATTTTTATGTAAAAAATTACGATTTCCCCCACAGTGTTATGGCGCCATTTTGAAATGCGTTCGATTTTCGATCCCGATTTATATCTTGATTTTTTAATCGCGTACATATAATTTTTGTGTTTATGTTATAATGTGGTAAAAGGAGTTAAAACAAAGTTAATGTTTTTTAAATTGTAATTTAATCATATAATAGTTTTCAAGTGGGCTGTGTCACCGCTGCATTTCATCGCATCTCATGGCACTAATCATGCTAATGCAAACACGGATTATCACATCCACCACGAAAGGTGTTAATTGCTTTGAAGTAACTCAGGTGTGGCCGGATTAGAGGAAATAATTACCGTTAATTATGAGCAGTTGGGACCAGTATGGCCGTTCGGAATACAGAATAGACAGTATCCGGATTACACAGAATTTTTTCTATAGAATTTGTTAAAGAAGTGCATGGGACTAAAATTTATAGACGGAATGGACAAAAATCCGGAGTACTCAGAGTCCGGATTAGACAAATTTTACTGTATAAAACTTTTATGATTTTCCAAAGGAAATGTATATACTGAATAAAATACAAACATTTATAGCATGGCTTGCGGGGCAAAATTTGACAAAAAAGGCACTTCAACTTGACAAATTTATAAGGGAATAATAGACATTTGTGTCATTAAGAGTTATCTCTCTTATCAGAGTATCAATGTACCTTAAGCATTATCATAGTGTTTAAGAAAGCTGGTACTCTTCTTCTATAAAGTTCATGTCACCCATGAGTGTTGATTTCTAAGATAGTCATATGAGGGAAAAAATGTTATAATGATGTGTGAGTGAATTAAGCACACTTGTATAATTTAATAGCCTATCATATTAAATCAATTGTAGGATTGTGGATAATTTACCCTGTGCTACACAGTTCAAGATGATGGACTCAGATGAAGTCCAGTATGAGCATGGTTATAAACTTGGATTTGTTAAAGACGGAAAAGTAAGAAATTATGAAAATGATATGCACTTCAATGTTTTTTGTGTAACAGTATTGTTGCTCCTTATTTAGTGCATGTACATTTACATCCATATTTTAAATAATGGAATGTTTAAATAATATATTTATTTCCTAATTTTAGGTTTATCTAAACAACCACTTAAAGATGCATCTAAAATATCACACTGATGACAAGTAAGTCACTTGTAATTGTAGCAAATTGTTATCTAATACAAAGTCTTCATTGCATTAAAGACAGATTTAAGAGCATAAACACTGATAAAGCAAAAAAAAAAACCAAGGGAGTCAGTAGAATACAGTAAAAGGAGAAAATATGGCGCATACGTATTTTAGCGCAAACGCAATTGGGAATACATTGGCGCAAATAAAATTTATCGCTTGCACTTGTCATTAAAATATATAAATGTGATACTATTTTTTTAATCCACGCCCGTGTTTGACTTTTTGGTTAGTCAAGCACGGAAACAGAATAGCACTCCGGTATATAAGTAAACAATCGTCAACTTTGGTGTTGCAATCACATAGACGTGGCACAATGTTGAATTTTATTTTAAATAAAAGAAATGGAGTATTCACGCATTTTATTCGAAGGAAAGTTACTTGGATAAACGGTAATCATAATCAGGTATTGTCTGCAAGCTCAATCGCCTTGCTTGATTGCATTGTTTACCTCGAGGCGATAGATGATTGACACGCGGAGAAGCCAAACTTTGAAGGTGCTAAAGATAAGTATCGGATAACAACTAGCAATAGTTTATTAAATAAATTATGATTTGGCAGAACTTTCTTGATTGAGCCTACCATGTACTATGCTAGTGTGTATATAAAATCCAATGACCCTTCGACATTACGTAATTGCGTGTTTCGGTTTACGTGTACTGATGTGAAAGCTTTGAACATACACAACAAAATAATATTTAGAATTCTGTTAGCACACAATAAATTTTAGCGTTCAGGGGCTCTTGTGCCAAAGGCACTAAAATTAGTATTGCGCCAAATATTCCCATTTTACAGTATCTGCATCAGAGTCACTGCATTTTACTCTTTTATAATTATTCGTTGTACATTCGATTTTTCCCCTTTTTTCACAGTGAAGACTATAGGGTTGTGGGATTTGAAGTCGAGGCCAAAAGGTAAGCTTGTCAATCCTTCTAGATTTTTCTAACCCATTAAAGCTGGGGTAATTGACCAATTCTTTTGACTTGAATAAACTGTTCAGCAGTTATGGTTAAAGATTTTTTGTAGATTCGAAGTACTGTAGATCACTAAATTTTCGCTACACCTTATTTTCGCGAGATAGTCATTGACTCTCGTTTAGCGAGACATAATTTTCACGAATTGTTGTTAGTGCTCTATATAATCTTGAGAAATGCTCTCATACGCGAAAATAAAATTTTTGCGAGAATGCTGTCTCGCGTAATTATGCGAAAATAGAGTTCTCGCGAATAAAAAGTAATTTAAAGTATAAGCTTCATTGTTTGTTTTACATGTTGCTCTTTGTTCATCATTTACTAATGTTTTTTTTTTATTTAGTGTTCAGTATGGAGAATTAAACACAAATGCTGAAGGAAGATGTGACTACAAAAACAAGAAACCTGGGAGTGTTGTTCAGCTTCAGGAACTGAAAGAAGGTACAGTGCAATATAGACATTTAATTAATCATGATACACTCTATATTATAACCTTAAAGCTATATCTTGATTAGGCAAGTGTTTCTTATCCTGTACTTCTTATAGCCCCAATGTACATTGTGCTATCAGAAGTTGAGATCTGAGAGATGGTCATCTTAGTTATGTCGCCCCGAACGAAGTTGGGGGCGACCTATTGCGATTGCACGCATGTTTTTGTTCTATGGGCTGTTTCTTGGAGATGGCTGGGACAATCTTCCTGAAACTTTCCTCAAAGGAAGATCACTGGTTGTAGTTGTGTTGTGTGGTCATTCAATTACAAAATGGCTACCATTGCCATGGAAACCTGCAAAAAGCGACAAATTTTGTCTGCAAGTGTTCTCTCTGTTCCTTGGACATTCGTCATGAAATTTTATTGATTTAATGATTAGTATCTGTAATTGTGCATGTTGCATTTAAAAATTGCAAATTGTCAATAGTTGCCATGGAAACA